ACAACTCAGGGAGAAAATAGGGAAATAAAGTCTTTAATGCGTCCTACCCGATCCGACGACCTGGAAACCCAAAGTCACTCTCAGAGCTGGCCGGACGCTGCCAGCTGGCCGAGAGCCCAAAAATGGAAAGCCCCCAAAGCCCACATGTCTGCCTTTTGTATCCACCTGGCTGCTTAACCCCACCTTCAGGTCCCAGCCACCCTCCCTTTGGTGGTGATGGGATTTGGAGTTCCCAGTGTCTTTGGCTTTGACCTGGGGTGGGGGTGGAGTCCACAAAGCCTATATGGAATTTGCTTTGGGACATCCTTTTCCCCCTAACACCCTCAGCAGTGTATTTCGGTCCTTCTGCCTGTTCTGTTCCCTGCTCTGGCTCTGGTGAATTCTCTCACCCTCCCACACTTCTGACTGTACCCAGTGCCTGTATAAATAAATAAATAAATCTTTAAAAAAAATTTAAAAATATATATTTTATTAAAAACTATATATATCTTATTATATGTAATACTTTCAGATCGTGAATAACTGAAACCATGGAAAGCAATACCGCAGATAAGAGGGGACTACTGCATTTCATTTTTTTCCCCTGTGCCAGTTTGGAAATTAAAATTCTCCTTTCTATGCAGTTAGTGCTCTCCCTCGAAATTACCATATACATTCCTAACTTACTAAGGTATCATGCTAATCATACCAACCCTTTCTAGGAAGGATAGAGAGAGGAAAAGAAATTTCAGGCCAGATGAACAGAAAGAACAAAGATGTGGGAGCAGGAAAGAACTCAGTGTATCTGGGGATGCAAATGGAGCCAAAGAAAGGTCTACTAAACAATGAAATTTTAATTACTATTTGAGGCAGAGTGGGATTAGAGCAAGATGGGTGAGCATTGTGTGGGTAATTTAAAGCCATCCGGGAAGAATGTCTTGACCATGAAAAAGATCTCTGGGAAGAACAATGAACAACTCCTCCTCAACCCAGGAAGACTTTGCTGAGGCTGTGCAGGAGGCAAGGATAAAGTTTGGCCTGAAACTGAAGCCTTGGTACCATCTATGACTCTGCCTCTACCAACCCCCCAGCCCCAGCAGTATTTCTCAAAGACATTTCTTGCAGTTCCTAAATGTCTTCTTCTTTTTTTAATTTTCAAAGATTTATTTATTTATGCATACAAGAACCAGGGTGTAAGCCAGATGTACGGGGGGTGAGGGTGGGCGGGTGAGAGAATTCACCAGAACAGGCAGATATACTGAAATACACTGCTGAGGGAAGTAGTGGGAGAAACAGGAGAGGTCTACTGCACCATGTGGGTCAGCTCCCTGGCCAGTCCCAGGATGGAACTCATGCTGCAGTGGCTGGAAATAGCTTGACAGCACTGTCTTTAACCAGGTACCGGTGGTGCTGTTTCAGGCACAGGCCTCTCTGAGGTATGTATCCAGGTACCAGGCAAACCAACCTGGAGAGCAGGAGATCCTGGAAAGCTTCAGTAGCAGCTCACGGCTATTTGAACAGTGGACAGACTTCAGTTTGGCAAACACTGAGAGCCTACTGAATGAATACCGCACTAGATGCTTAGATGCTTGTTCAACTTTCTTGCCTGTAAAATGGATATCATCAAACTTACATTTATTAAGAGGATCAAATAGAGTACATGAAGTTAATGACATATAGTAAGAACATACTCTTCCACTTTTTCTCACATAAATCAAGGTAGGTGATAGTGTTCACCTACCTGTGCCACCAGGGAGGCCCCCTAAATGTCTTCTTGATTGATGTATCTAAATTCTTCAGAACCCAGTTCATCTAAATCTGAAAAAATACTTTCTGGGCTCCTATTGTGCCCAGATGAGCCAAGATGAGATATTCAGAAATAAACAGGTGAGGGCACCATCCTTAAATCAGCTCCCAGAAAGGTGGGGGGAAATAGCAGGCAATAAATTATTTTACTGTGTGTGGTCAGCCCTAATAAAGGTATATGGACTTCTAATGTTGCTTATGGAGAAGGGAGGTGAACAGGTCACAGGCTCTAGGAGATAAGGAGGAAGTTGAGCACAACTTCCTGAAAGAGATGCGTATAGCTAGAATGTAAAATATGTCGTTACTGGAGTATAGGATGGTCAGATTATGAAGACTGTTGAATACCATACTAATGAATTTCTCCTGATCCTAAAAGTTATGGGAAATTACTAAATAATTTGCAGAAAAGCAGAGACATAATCAATCTGCTTTTTAAGAAGAACCAATGTGGCTGTAATGGGGAGGATGATGGAGAGATAGGAGAGCAAGGAAGCTAGTGTAGGCGCTCTCTTACTTACAGCTTTTTTGGACAACTGCATCCCACATTCATTTCTCCTCCTCTGCTCCCCACCTCTACACTGCTCCCATGCTAGTTTGTCCCCATAAACAAATACTGATCAGTTTGTAGTATCTGCTATGTGTGGGTAGACAGGGGATTAGAGCAGTGATTGAAGCTAAAGCTGGAAACCGGTGGTGCTTTTTCAGGCACAGGCTTCTCTGAGGTATGTATCCAGGTACTAGGCAAACCAACCTGGAGAGCAGGAGATCCTAGAAAGCTTCAGTAGCAGCTCACGGCTATTTGAACAGTGGACAGACTTCAGTTTGGCAAACACTGAGAGCCTACTGAATGAATACCGCACTAGATGCTTAGATGCTTGTTCAACTTCTTTGCCTGTAAAATGGATATCATCAAACTTACATTTATTAAGAGGATCAAATAGAGTACATGAAGTTAATGACATATAGTAAGAACTCTTCCACCTTTTCTCATATAAATCAAGGTAGGTGATAGTGTTCAGATTGTCAATGGAGGAAATAGAGTCAGTCAATGACAACTGATACTAATAAATGATAAATACCATTTGCAGTCTTTTAAAATGCCAAGGAATTACCTCATTTAATTCTCACAGCACTCCTATCATATGGATAGTCATTAAAACCGTTTTATAGATGAAACTGAGACTTGGGGCTGCATAGTAAATTGCCCAATTGCCTAGATAACTAGAGAATAAAAGCAAGATTACAGTACCTCAAGTTCCAGGCAGTGGGGTGGTCTGAAGGCAAGAGAAAAGGGACCCAGCCTCAGAGAATGGTTTTTAGGATCAAAGGAACAGACAAGGAATTCAAGACAGGAAAAAGGAGCAGGCATCTGAGGGTTGGAGCTAAGACAAAGAGGGAAGCCCAGGGCAGAAAACCTGAATTGAGTTACCAAACTAAACAGAGGTGGCTCTTTTAGCAAAGTGTTACTATTGTTCCTTGGCCCTGGACAAAGGATAAAGGACAAAGGACAGGGTAGGGGAGAATTCCAAGTCCATAAAAGTAATTCTTAGAGTAGGACACCTTCTGACTCAAAGCCCAGAGATACCACTGGGTCCCACACCCAGTCCAGGACCTGCCAAGGAGCGGGCCTATGCTGAGTAAATGAACCAGAGTGAATGCACGAGAAAGAGTGCTGCCAAGTTAATCCAGTTTCAGCCTCTGTTTTCCCATTTGCAAATTGGTCATTATAACTACCTTGTGGGATTAACAGTATATAGTGATTAAGGGAATGACCTCAGGTGCCAAACCAATACTGCTTCTGACATTGATTAGTTGTGTGTGTAGGTAACTAACTTTCTCTGTTTTCCTTTGAAAAATGGGAGTGGTGAGTGGTAATAGTTTATCTCTTAGTGTTTTTATGAGGATTAAATGGGAAAACAGGGCCTCCCCTGGTGGTGCATCGGTTGAGCACTGGGCAGCGAGGCTGCCCACAGCCTCTGCAGCGCTGGTTTGTTCCCCAGTCGCCAGAGAGGGTCCCACAAAAATAATAAATAAATAAATAAAAATGGGAAAACAAGCAAGAAGTAGAAAAGTATCTGGGACAGAGGGTGTTCAAAATGTGCTGATTATTACTGTGGGGATTAAAAGCGAAAAATATGTTGATGGGCCTTCCTGGTGGCGCAAGGGGTTAAGACGCAACCTATGAAGCTGTCCGCAGTCTCTGCAGCACGAGTTCATCTCCCGGCTGGCCAGGGAGCATCCCACATGGCGCAGCAGACCTGGCTGGTCCGCTGCTCCCCTCAGCAGTGTACTTCGGTTAATCTGCCTGTTTTGTTCCCCACTCTGTCTCTGGTGAATCCTCTCACCCCACACACGTCTGGCCTGTACCCCAGCTCTTGTGTGCATAAATAAATAAATCAAAAAGAAAAATATGTTGGTAATCCGGTGGCTAGCCCTGAGGTCCTCCACCCACTGTGGGTGCACCGACAACCCTACATTGTGCCTACAGAAGGGATTACTCAGCTGCCTTCATCTTCCTCTGTTGAGGTAGGATGGTCTTCTAGGGGGAGCCAAGAACCCCCACTCAGGTTTCTATGTGGGTCAATCAGGGTGGGCAGGGAATTCTGGGGCCTGATTTCTGGGGATCAGCCCTCTCATGATGGAGACCGAGGGTTGCTACGTTGGAGAGGACATGGCGCCCTCTCCTGATCGCGGGCCCGCACAGCCCTGGGCCAGAGCTCCCGGGGGGCGCTCACCGGATCTTACCGCCCACAAGGTGCATTTCCCTTATTTGGAATGCCGGTCCCGGCTCTGGGGAGCAAAGTTTTGGGAAGGGGTGCAGAGGCTGAGCAAAAATGGTCTTAGTGTTTCCGAAGCGTGATGGTGGATAATTCGACTAGAGTGGGGGTTGGAGGTACGAGAAGCTGGGGTCTGGAAATGAAAGAACGAGAGAATTCGAGGTCCTGATGAATTTTATGTTCTTTCAACAGGTGATGGAAAACAGCTGAGAGGTAAGATGACAAGGGGCTTTTCAACGTGTCAAATCCCGGTGTCCAGGGTTCTTCCGGCTGCCCCTACGCAGCCGGAATTAGTGGAGCCGGCTGGGGCTGGAGAGGCATGGCGAGCGAGCTTGCCAGACGCAGGGGCCGAGCGGGGGTCCAGGTCCGCAGAAGCGGGGAGGAGCCAGCAGAGGATCTGGAAGCATTCATTCCCAAGTTCCGCCCCTAGCTTACCGGCCCCCCCCCCTTTCCGGCTCAGACCCGCCCCCCGGTCGCCAGCCCCTAAGCCGGGCCGGGGCTACCCCGGGGTCCCCAAAGCAGCGGGCCTGAGCCGGTACGGCCTCGTCACTGCCACAGTCGGGGTGAGTATGGGGATGGCTGCGCGGGACCGCCTGGGCAGCTCCACTTGGGGGAGCTCGGCCACGCGGTCTGGCTTCCCCCGGGCGGGCCCCAAGCACTGGGGGCCTGGTGCCTGCCAGGAATTGCGAGTCTCGGGACATGCCAACTGATTCCTTGTCCCTCCGTCCGCCCCCCGGCCCCCCGCTGGGCGTGCTGGGGTTGAGTGCCCCCCCCCCTCCGCCGTACACTCCGCAGGGACTCCTGGTTAGGATTCTTCTTTAGGCATGCAGGATGGAGGTGTTGGGGGGTGGGGCTAGAGCCCCATGTATTAGTTTCAAATCCCAACCCTGCCAGTTACTAGCCTTGTGACCTTGAGCAAGTGTTTTTAACCTCATTAAGTCTCACTTTCTTCTGTAAAATGGAAATATACCTATAATGTCTACGTCTTAGAATTACAGTGAGGATTAAAAGAAACAATGTATATCAAGTACTAAGTAAGGTGCTTAATACTCAGTAGGCAACTAGTGAGTTTGGAGATTGTGGAGATTGAGAACTATAGGGGCTTTTGGAGAAAAGGTAGGAGGTACTCCTGAGAAAGCAGTCCTCAACTAAGTGGTATCTGTGAGGAAATTAGAACTGTCAGGAGCTCAACAGCTGCCCTTTATGGAGTGAGCTTCCTGTCCTGAGACCTGGAGCAGTTGAATGACCGAATTGGTTATAACTTTAGTAGGAACTAAAGCACATGTTCTCCATGTTGCACAACTGTGGAAACAAGCTCAGGGTAGTTAGGTGGCTTGCCCAAGGTCACACAGCTAAACCGGAGGCCAGGGATACCTCTGGATTATGGAACAGGCTTTTTTCCATTGTCCTTATCACCACCCCTATTTGGGGCAGTGCCCATTCATTCCCTGAGGATCTTGGCTTCAGTTTGGGGATTCCAGTGGTTCTTGAGGGATCTGGAATACCTAGTGTCAAGAAGGGATGTTAGAAAAGGGGACCAGTACAGCTACAACCTCAGATCTGGGGTTGGACTGGCCAGGGAAGGTATTAGGGCCTTGAGGGACTTAGTCCATTTCGGGGTGATCCAAGGAATATTTGATTTGGGAAGTTCAGCAGAGCCACTTCCAACTCCCTTGGGAAACCCTAGATCCAAGGAGAGAAATGAGCTTGAGCAACTGGGGCAAGCTGCCTGATCAGCCCGGCAGAGAGGCAGGAGAAGAAGATGGGTGAGAAAGCAGAGGGGAGTCCTTCCTAGAGTGTTCTGGACTATCAGGAGTCAGCTTCACTGAGGTTGGGACTCTGAGGGTGGGGCTAAAGGGGAGCGTCCTGAGGGTGGGGCCAGGAAGAGTTGGGACTGGATCTGACCAGGCCCTAGAATCCAGAAGGGCGGGTTCTATTTTTTTTTTTTTTTAAAGAGGCATGTATGTATGTATGTATGTATGTATTTATTTGTTTGTTTGTTTATCTATACATGCACTGGGTACAGTCAGAAGCGTGGGAGGGCAAGAGAATTCACCAGAGCCAGAGCGGGGAGCAGAGCAGGCAGAAGGACCCAAGTACATTGCTGAGAGGAGCAGCTGGGAGGGCAAGAGAATTCACCAGAGCCAGAGCGGGGAGCAGAGCAGGCAGAAGGATCCAAGTACATTGCTGAGGGGAGCAGCGGGAGGCAGGAGAGGTCTGGGCACCATGTGGGACCCTCCTCTGGTGGCCAGGGAGCAGCTGGGGATTGAACCGGCGCAGCAGAGGCCGCGGGCAGCTTCGCAAGCCAGGGCTCAACCGCTGCGCCACCGCCACCGGGGAGGCCCAGAAGGGCGGGTTCTTAATGTATCTGGAAGCAGCCCCTGTTTGGCAACAAGAAGCCCAGATGCTGAGAATGACTTTCTTTCAGACTCAGCATATGGCTTTGAGGAAAGGCCTTTCTCTACTCTTGGTTCCTCTGTCTTTACAGTGGGAAGAAGATTTACACATTTATATGGGATTTGGTGTTTACCTTTCTTTCTCTTTTTTTTCTTAAAGATTTGTTTATTTATGCATACAAGAGCTGGGGCACAGGCCAGAGATGTGGGGTGGGGGGAGGTGAGAGTATCCATCAGAGACAGAGCAGGGAGCAGAACAGGCAGACTGACGAAATACACTGTTGAGGGGAGCAGCGGGTGAGACAGGAGAGGTCTGCTGCGCCATGTGGGTAGCTCCCTGTCCTGCCGGGGATCGAACTTGTGCTGCAGAGGCTGCGGATTGCTTCATAGTGCGGTGCTTAATCCCTTGTGTCACCAGGGAGGCCCCTTCCTTTCTTTCTCTTAAGGACATGCACCCCTACTCCCTCCTGTCCTGATCTGATTTTTTTTTTTAAAGATTTATTTATTTATATAAGCATTGGGTACAGTCAGAAGCGCGGGAGGGTGAGAGAATTCACCAGAGCCAGAGCGGGAAACAGAACAGGCAGAGGACCAAAGAACACTGCTGAGGGGAGCAGCGGGTGGCGGGAGAGGTCTGCGCACCGTGTGGGACCCTCACCTGGTGGCCGGGGATTGAACTGGCGCTGCAGAGGCTGCAGGCAGCTTCGCAGCCCAGTGCTCAACCACTGCGCCACCAGGGAGGCACCTAATATGATTTTTTATGCCCAGAGAGGAGGGGGTCTAGAAAGCCAGAGTTATAGTTTGTGACCCTGTGGACCTCACAGTTCCCAGTGGCTGGCTCTTCCTTTTGTTTGCTGTGTGACCCTGAGCAGGTTTTGCCCCTCTCTTGGCCTAGGCTTCCCCTACCATGAGGGAGCACTGAGATAGGATTACTAGTGTACACTCGGCTATTATGGCTCCTAGCCTTAGATACTCTCATCCGAGCAGGGAGGCACAGCCCTCAGGAGCCCTTACCCCATTTCCGGAAGGGAGTGGATAAGCCTTGGACACTGGAGGCCTCCAGAAACTGACCAGGCAGCTCTCTCCAGTAAACCCAAGCTAACCCTGATTCTGCAAATCCTTTCACCCTCAGAGAACATGTAGCAGCAGGTAGAGACAGGCTGAGGTTCTTTAGGCTTCCATGGAGTCCATGTTGCTGTGGACTGTGGTGCAGGCACACACTGCACACAGAACTGGGGAAGGGACTAAAGGTGAAGAAAGGTCCTGGGCTGGTGGGTAAAACAGCTTCTGAAGACACTGAAGCCTGGGCCTCAGGAGCCTGGGGAGGAGATGGGCCAGGAGGTTTTAAGATTGGTTCATCAAACAAGAGAGACAAGTTAAACTAGCTCTTATAGTCCTAGGCCTGTCAAGCCAAGTCTGGGGTAAGAGAAAGAATCCCAGCCTATTCAGATTTCATCTTAGTACAGATTTGGTTCATTGTCTTTCCTCTAAAACAAAGGGGAATGTTCTCATGGGATTTGGAGTCAGTTTTCACTGACCCTGTAAGCTTGGACAGCTTAGAGGGTCAGTGGCTTCCTTCTCAGACTCCCCACCCCTAGCACAGCTAAGCTTAGGACTGAGCATAGGGCTAGCTTCACCACTGAGTCCCTGCCTTGCTGCCTTGGGCCCTGACAGCATACCACTCCATCGCCAGGTCTGACAAGATGTACCAGGTCCCAATGCCGCTGGACCGGGATGGGACCCTGGTCCGGCTCCGCTTCACCCTGGTGGCCCTGGTCACGGTCTGCTGTCCACTTGTCGCCTTCCTCTTCTGCATCCTCTGGTCCCTGCTCTTCCACTTCAAGGAGACTACAGCCACACACTGTGAGGTAGGGCTTGGGGGGCACTGATACCTCATATCCAAGCTCAATTGAATCCTTTTTTAAAGGATTTATTTCTATTTATGCATACAAGAATTGGGGTGTAGGCCAGAGGTACAGGGGTGGGTGGGTGAGAGGATTCACCAGAGAACAGGTGGATTTACTGAAATACACTGCTGAGGGGAGCAGCGGGCAAGACAGGAGAGGTCTGCTGCGCCATATGTGGATTAGCTCCCTGGCCAGGGATCGAACTCATGCCACAGTGGCTGGTGATAGCTTGTTAGTGCTGAGACTTTAACCCCTGCACCACCAGGGAGGCCCTCAACTGAATCTTCTTTGAATCATGATTCTATTGTTACAGGGTTAGTCAACTCTCCAGTGGGATACATCACACATACTGGGCTGCTGGGGGTGGGGGGGGTGCCTGCAAATTGAGATCTCAAGAATGAGCCTCCTCCACTTTCCATGGATGTTATTGGGAGCTGGGGTACCTGAAATTGGGCAGACCCTGAACCCAGAATCCAGTCTGTACTTCATAGTGGGCATATTCAGGAGCTCCAGGGTTTTTTGGGAGATGGAAGAGCACACTACTGGATTCAGGACATTTTGGGACTCTTAAGGTAGCCCATCTCTATAGGGATGTGATTATGTACATATGTGTGTCACTGTGAGGGACATGACTGTACCAGATGGCTTTGAGTGTGGTATGTGTGTGTGAGAGATTATATCTATACCTGTCTGAGTTGTAGGGTAGGGTGCTATGCCCTCAGGTTCTATAAGTGACCATGCAGAAATACAGGCTGCCAGACCAGGGAGATGTGCGAGTTCTTTCTCTATAGGACGTTGGAGTAAATGGGGGAGACCTGTGTTCAATTCTAATGGACTCCTAGTGCATCTGCCTATACTATCTGTTGCCTGAGACAGAGTCTGAGCTTAGGTTTCCACATATCTAAAATGGGATTGATAATTCTTGTCCTCCTTCTCAGGCCTAGTGTAGAGCTCCAGGTAGAGGAAGGACAAGAAGGGGTTTGGGGAATGTGACGCATAAGGAGCAGAAATCAGGGGAGACAGGAGGAGCTTCAAGTGGAAAGGAGGCAGACCCGGGCATGCACCTTGCACTAACCTCAGAGACAGCTCTGAAGCCCCCAGTCAGCTGAGCTTCCCACTTCTGAAGATCCTCTGCTTCACAGAAGCAGCTGCCACTAGCAGTGGGGTCTGACTGGCATTATGGGGTGGGGGAACACTTCTTTTACTTACACGACTTGAATTTTTCCCTCTTCTTGATTTGTCATGAGCCTTGAGCTATGAGCAGCCATTCTGCTGAGACTCAGAGCCGGAAGCTATTCAGAAAGAACAGTACTGGAAGATGAGGGGGTAATTTGAGGGGAGGATCAGAAAGGGTCAGTCAGTGGCCTTTACTTTAGAAAATGCATCAATTGTTCCTATTACTTAAGTCAACTCCTCTTTATACTGCAAAACCCAGGTCTTTTGAAAAGCTTTAACCTAGCCTCGATGGGCCAAGCTTAGTCACTCCCTTCTCTAGGTGCCCATCCTTCCCTGTGTTATCTCTCACACCGTTCTATGGCGTCATATTTACAGCTGTCTTCTTCACCAAAGTGGGAGCTCCCTGAAGGTGGGTATGTCATCTAAATCATGTGTATGTGTGTGTGTGGGGGGATAGGACCTTCCCTGCCCAGTGCCCTGGGAGAAGGAAGGCATGGTATAGTGCACTTGTAGCCTTTACAGAAAATTATAATACTTCCTTGATATTTTTTATTTTTAATTATAATATTTTTATGGCGTATGAGGTTAAAGAGAGCAGGTTGTTTGCTCTGCCCCTTGTGGCTGGCTCTAAGGGATAATAGTATCAATAACTTACCTGACATACCCTTCCCCCAATCTTGGCACACTAGTTAGGAGCTGAAGCATAAGTAGTTACAGAAGGGATATTTGGCCTCTCTGGGGCAGGACCATGCCTAGTAACCCTAGGGATATTTTGTCCCCACTCCCTGGGACTACCGTGTTGAATCCCCCTCGGAATTTTCATAAACGCTCTGACTTTGTCATCCATAGCGTCCCAGTAACAACCAACCCTAGGAATAAAAGAAGTAACCTAGTCCAACACATCTCCAATTAGATCACTTTGCTTCTGCTTGTTTTGGGGAACTTCCTTTCTCCCCAAGCAGCTTATTCCAAGGAGGCTTAGTAACTAACAATTAGCAAGCCCCTAGACTGAGCATTCACTCACTTTTTTTTTTTTTTTTAGATTTATTTATTTATACAAGCACTGGGTACAGTCAGAAGTGCGGGTGGGTGAGAGGATTCACCAGAGACAGAGCGGGGAACAGAACAGGCAGAGTGACGAAGTACACTGCTGAGGGGAGCAGCGGGCGTGGCAGGAGAGGTCTGTCATGCCATGTGGGACCCTCACCAGTGGCCAGGGATCGAACCGTTGCTGCAGAGGCTGCGGGCAGCTTCGCTGCCCAGCGCTCAACTGCTGCGCCACTGCGGAGGCCCTCACTCACTTTCTGATGAATCTCTCCTTTGCTCCTCTGGCTCTCTTTCTTCCTCACTTTAAGCCAGCTTCCCATTACTGCAGAAATGGGAAGGCAGCAATTGAAGGGGGTCCTGAGTCTGCCCCTCTTAGGTGACATAGCTCCAGTTCCTCAGGCAGTCCTCATAGGACAGTTGGTCACTTTTTCTCTCCATGCTAGGCCCTGATCTGGGCACAGGACTTCATATGGCCTGGGTAGTACAGGCAAAAGCAGGACTATTCCATTCTTATTACTGTTAGACCTCTGATAATGCTATCTGAGCTGTCATTAGCTACTGATATTTCTGCACAGTGCAAGCTGGACATTGATACTTCATATTCAGACCCATCTAGGTCTTTTTTGGGTCCTGAATACACTTTCAGAAGATTAGCTGGCTTTCCAGTGGGGCCCAACAAACACATCCAGTCCTACTCCAACAGAAAGGGGCCAAATCCTATTCTGTTTTCTCCCGTTCTCTTCTAGAGAAATCTGTCTATTACATGGACACAACCCTCAGAAAGGTCCCTACCCCCATTCCTGGCAAGGAAGCAGTTATGGGCTGACCTCTGCCACTATATCACTTCATACCTTTGCAGAATGTTCTGAGATTTATGACATGGCTTTGTCCATCCAGGGAAGGCTGTGTGCCTGGGCAGGCGTGGAGCTCTGGGTTCTGTGGGCGGGAGGGCAGGCTCTGGAGGGCTGGGGGTAGGACTGTTTTAGAACAGTCTCATTCTGGCTAGAGCCCTCAGCCCAAGCCCCGGATCCTTCAGAACCCAGTGTGAGTATTGCTCAGTGCATCCCCCACCCCTTTACCCCATTCTCTGATGCTGAGCTAGGCTACTGGATGGGTGGTGCCCTTAACGGGAGGAGGTATGAGCCCCAAGGGGAGATTTGGTCCTTTAAATACAGGACTTTTTAATACAGAGACATCTCTGCTTGTTCCCCAGAAGGAACTCCACTTGAGGGTTATGGTGGTCAGGGCATTGGGGGGTGGGGGCGGGGGCGGGGAAGGAGTTCTTTCCCTAAAGGGAGAATGGAGGGGAAGAAGCTCTATTACCTGGGTTCGAGTCTCCTTTCCTGGGTCTTGCCCAGCACAGCATGCTCAAGCTGAATTAAGACGGTTCCTGTGACCCCTGGATTCCCCAGTCCTTGGACTGAGTGACAGTCTTCTTCCTGAGAAAGAGGAAAGAGATGGAGGGCTTAGGTCTGCAGAACCCCTGGTATCTTGGTGTCAGGATACTGCTGGTCTAAGCCTTAGATCATTCTAAGCCTGAGGGCGAGATGGTTGGCAGCCTGTGGCCCCACTGAAATAGGTTCTGGGGGTACTCCCACTGTTCCTGGTTGAACTTGGATGAAGAGCAGGAATGTGGTCAGACAGGGTTCAGTGGTCAAGGGCCAGTCTGAGCCAAAGGCCCTTTGTCTGTTACTTGGCCTGAAGGAAACCTTGACTTTGAGCCTTAAGCTGTTGAGTAGCAAGAGGTTTTATTCCTAGTATTAGATCTTGGCATAGTTCTGGGCGTCTGTCTCCCTTCCTATGGAGTGGGAAGAATAATCTTTCCACCTCTGACCCTTCTCCTGAATAGATTTGAGTATTGTAAGAATGAGGCCCATCTCACGAGCCATCAGAGCACCCATATCAGGCAACTAGGCCCCTCTGGTGTCCAGACTATTCAAGAGGTAGACCTGTAGGACCAGGGTGCCAAGGGGTGTCCTAAGGGCTGATCTTGCCTCTCTCTCCTGTTCCTGCCCCATCTCTGTCTCCACTTTCTTCTCTTCTGTACTGTTTTCCTTTTTCTGTTATGCTCTTTCCACTCCGACTCTTCCCTACATCCTGGGGAGCCAGCTCTGAAAAAGACCCCACATTCCCGGGCTCAGGTATCCCACCAAGCCCCAAGGTGTGTCCCTCACCCTACCTGGGCACCACTCCCTACAGGATGTTCTCTGCGGCCTCCCAGCCCTTGGACCCCGACGGGACTGTGTTCCGACACCGCTTCACAGCCGTCTTCTGGTGGGTCGCCACTTTTCCCATCTTCGGCTTCTTCTTCTGCATCATCTGGTCCCTGGTGTTCCACTTTGAGTACACGGTGGCCACTGATTGTGGGGTGAGTGCAATCCTCCCTAGCACCTGGGTCAGGGCCAGGTCAGGAGATGGTAAATAGGGTGGAATCAGAGAGTAGGAGAGACAGGTCACAGAGGGCAAAGGGAGAAATGAGTGGTGGGGGACAAGGCAAGTGTTAGGGGTGAATTTCAGGGACAGATTCAGAGAAAATAAAATCACAATCCTCCAGAAGTAGAAGAGGATCATAGTGCAAGGATGCAAAAGCTGGCGTGGGGGAAGGGGAGGCAGTAGGAATAGGCAAGAGAGATGAGGAGAGGAAAAGGAAGCTGAAAGAAAGACCAGATGGGAAAGGAAACCAGGACTGAGGAAGTAAGATGAGCCTAAGAGCCAGCAGGAACAGGTGACTTCAGCTCAGACTGGGGTCTGACTTTAGAGGAACCCCAGCCCCACCCTGGGATCTTCTTCCTTTCCCCCCTGGCAGCCTTGTCCTCGCAACTTGGGTCTACTCAGGGCTCTGCCAGCTAGCAGCCTAGATGGATTTCCTGCTTCCATGAGCAGTCCACTGGCCTTTGAGGGCCTAGTTCTATGTCAGGGGCATGAAACTGAACATGGGCTTGCCCTTAGTATCTCATTGTATAGAAGCCATTCCTAGACACAGTCACAAGAGTGAGATGGGATTCCCATCTGGATAAAAGGGGTCACAGATCTAGACGAAGCATTTAACCAGACTTGGACATTAAGGAAGATGTCTTCCTGGAAGAGCACACATTATTGCTGTGGGGGTGAAGAAGAAGCTTTGTGAATGCTAGGCTGACAACTTACGGATTTTATCCAGAGGGCAATAGGAAAATTTGCAAAAATTTGTTTTTTTAGAGATTTATTTTTATTTATTTATGCATACAAGAACTGGGGTATAGGCCAGAGGTGCCAGGGGTGTGAGTATTCACCAGAGACAGAGTGGGGAGCAGAACAGGCAGATCTACTAAGATACATTGCTGAGGGGAGCAGTGGACAAGACGGGCGATGTCCAGGGCCTCCCTGGTGGCACAAGGGGTTAGGCATAGCACTGTGAAGCTATCTGCAGCCTCTGCAGCACGAGTAGTATGAATTCGATCCCAGCCTGCTGACCAGGGAGCTAACCCACATGACGCAGCAGACCTCTCCTGTCTCGCCTGCTGCTCCCCTCAGCAGTGTATTTCAGGCAGTCTGCCTGTTCTGTTCCCCACTCTGTCCCTGGTGAATCTTTTCACCCCCCGCACCTCTGGCCTGTATCCTACTTCTTGTATGCATAAATAAATCTTCAAAAAAAAAAAAACAGACAGGAGAGATCTGCTGTGCCATGTGGGTAGCTCCCTGGCTGGGATTGGACTCATGCTGCAGTGACTGCTGATAGCTTGATAGCGCTGAGACTTTAACCCCTGTACCACTAGGGAGGTCCTACTTTGCAAAGATTTTAAGCAGGAAAGGGACATGATCACATTTGTGCTTTAGAAGACTGTTTTGGCTTGTGCGTGGAGAACAGATCAAGAGGTAGAAGGCAAAAGCATGGAAACTTAGTTGGAAGGTTAATGCAATAACTCATGCTATTGGGAAGATCAGAGCTAAGATGAGGACTGTGAGAATAAGGAGGAGGAGGGGATCAAGTCCAGAGCAGAGTAGCCAGTTGGATTGATAAGAAAGGAAGTTTTTGTCAGGTTGGCAAAGGGCAGGAGGCAGTAAGATAAAAATAAAAGTAATCCATAACTTTGGGGAACTTTCATCTGAGACCAAAGGAATGAATCTGAGGTGCTATGATAATCTTTTGGAACCTTTCCCTTTATACCCCATGAATTTCTGATCTATCCTGCTACAGATCCAGAGTCGTGCATCCCAGGTCAAAGGGTTTCTGTTCTTGGAGGGAAGAGGTTATGTTTCCAGTTCTCAGTACTTTTAATTCTGGGTTCATTGGGAGGTTTGGGGTGAAATTTTTACCTAGGCTCCAATAGCTCCTGTTGTTGCTTGTTGCTGGCATAGTTGGTGAGTAGATAACTTGGGTACTTGGGCTGTGTGTGTGTGTGTGTGTGTGTGTGTGTGTGTGTGTGTGTGTGTGTGTGTGAGAGAGAGAGAGAGAGAGAGAGAGAGAGAGAGAGAGAGACAGAGAGACAGAGAGACAGAGAGAGAGAGATGACAGAGGCAATCCCTGCTCTTAAGATCCTGTTCCCACCCTTAATCTGAGAGGAACTTGTGAGGACAGAACCAGTAGCCCCAGCGCCCTAATTCTCTTTCTCCTGAGGTCTTCTCCCAATTCTGTGTCAATGCCTCCCTTCTGTTTTCCAACATTGGTCTGGGTTCTGAACCCTTGAATGCCCTGGCCTCTGCCAGCCAAGCTCTAAATGCTGGTGCTGCTCCTGTTCCCCTTAATGTAGCTGAGATTGGGGTAGGAGTTTTCGGAATGAATATCTTAGAAAGTAGAAGAAACACCAATTAGCCATACTCAGGGCACCTACCCAGTCAGGCAAAAAAGTCAAGTAAGGAGGCTGGTAGGTCTCAAAAGTATCTGGTGAAGACACAATTCCTACCTTTCACTCATGCAGGTCTGGAACATGCAGGCTTTCCCATGTCTAATAGCTACATAACTCATAACCTATTTAATGCAGGCTTTTCAGGGAAGTTTGTCATCTAAAAGCCATTACTTGTACTCAGGGTGTGCCAGGCCCTGCAGATGTTGTGCATACATTATATTTAGTATTCACAATCACTCTGCAAGGTAGATAGGTGGGGTTATCCCTATTTTGCCAATGAGTTAATTGAAGTTCTGAGAGGTAAAGGGATTTTCTCAAGGTCACCCAGCTATTAAAGGCAGAACTGGGATGTAGACCCAGTTTGTGTGACTCCAAAGCTTTCATGCTGCCACTTCACTGATAAGAGTGAATACTTGAGCCTAATCTTGAGCCATGGTATCTCAGGCCATGGCCTTGAAAGTAGCACCCTTTTTGAGAACTATTCAGTGAGCTTCCTCTGAGGGGAATCATCTCCTTTTCAGTAAAGGCTGTGAAGCCCCTGGCTGGTCTTCCTGCAGGCCCACTGCTGCCTTGTGAGCAAAGGTGCCTATCTTCCCAGTCACTCCAAAGACCAGTTCAGCATACATACCGATTGGGAGAAAGGAAGGGATCTTCCAGAATTCCCCCAGAGTCAGAACAAGGTTGTTCCCTCACTGGATGACTAGGCTCCAGCACTGCTCTGGCCCTTGTTGAAGGTCTAAAAGAGTGTGGACAACAGACTGGTAACTTCCATACTCCCACAGTCTTTTAGAAATGCAGATTCTCAGATTTCATACCTTCTGCCTTCTCACACAATCCCTAGTGATTTGTTTGCTATTAAAGTTTGAGAAGCACTGCTCTGGGCCCTAGAGCCTGAAATCACCCCCTTCCATCCTTTCCTGTTACCATCTAAACTATTGTTCAATCAAGCCCTGTCCCCTCATACTCCTATACAAGGCACACAGCAATCCCCACAGCTGTGTGAGTGTTAGCTTATCCTCCTTCCTCAACTCTAAAGAATGACATTCTAGTTCCTTAAGGAATGAAGAATTCTAGGCATTGAGAAAGCTGAATGGGAGAAATGCATGAGAACAAGGTCATTTCTTTAGACCACCCAGGTTAGGAGAGCCACCCACTTTATAAAACATGATGGGGAGGTACCCTCTGGCTCAGGTCTCTTCTAGGTCTCACAGTATCCTCTACCACCTTGACACAATTGCCAGTAAAACAAGTGGAGCTGAGAGCAGTCTGAGGAACAGTTTGACTGGGTAGTGAATTCAGCATGTCCCAAGGAAACTCATTCTGTGACTTATCTGTCCTTGGGTCTGAATCTGACCCAAGGAACCTCCCACAGGCCCTTATCCAGGGCACAGCCCTGGCTTTGGGCTGGGACAGCATCTTCCCAGCCATGTGTAGGGAAATAGACTAGAGACTCATAGCTTGCCCCTGCACAAACCTCAGGAAGCCTGGGGAATGAGAGCCAAACACAGTGGAGTCCCAGGAGCTGGAAGGGGCAGTCTCCTAGGAAGTTCTGGGGGCCCCTGCAGGAGTGCTTCTGGAAGGGAAAGGACTAGTGCAGAGCCTTTAGGGCTGGGATGATTTTGATAGATGGGGAAAAGGATTTCCAGGTGGATGGGGCCGGCGGTGGCCGGGACACAGACGGGTCGCAACTCTCTAGGTGCCCAATTACCTGCCATCGGTGAGCTCGGCCATTGGCGGGGAGGTGCCCCAGCGCTACGTGTGGCGCTTCTGCATCGGCCTGCACTCAGCACCCCGATTCATGGTGGCCTTCGCTTACTGGAACCACTACCTCAGCTGTGCCTCCCCGTGCCCCGGGTACCGTCCTCTTTGCCGCCTCAACTTCGGCCTCAACGTCGTGGAGAATCTTGCGCTGCTAGTGCTCACCTACGTCTCCTCTTCCGAGGACTTCAGTGGGTGCCCGGCAAGGGAAGGAGGAATGGGGGAGGGTTTGGGGAGGGACTCCCCCCATGCATTGGACCTTCAGAAGTAGGGGTTTGGGTGCTCCCTGCTATGTGGGCTTCCAACCCCCCTCTCTCCCTTCAGCCATCCATGAAAATGCTTTCATTGTGTTCATCGCCTCATCCCTCAGTCACATGCTTCTCACCTGCATTCTGTGGCGGCTGACCAAGAAGCACACAGTAAGTCAAGAGGTACGGTTTACCCCTATGGGGCGCTCGGTGACCCAGAGGATAAACAAGGACACTAGTCCTCATGATGCTCATAATGGTGACGTTGAAACTGGAGCCCTAATGGGAACTGGGCTGGAATTGGGGTGTGGGGACACACAAAGGGTGATTAACCAGCATCAAGACTATATTTGGGTAGTATGGGAAAGTAGAGAATAGAAGAGAGAGGCTCCAAGTGGGGGATAAAGTGGGGAGCAGCCCCCAGGCTGCAGTAGATTAGGAATAGTCAGGGGACCGTGGTCTGTAATACATACTTTTCTTCTTCCCATAGTATCTGGAAGTGTTGGGTTGGTGGGTGACTCCAAGTAACTTCCATACTTCATCTCCCCCAGAGTGAGAGGGATAGGGACACAGTGTGACCTCATTACCCTCCCCCCACAAATGCAGGGATGCCTATCATTCTTGCTGCCCGCTGCCTGTGCCCTCTTACATGACCACAGGAGGTTAGACTCAGCCCTTAGAAGTTGGCGCTAAGAGGGGAGGCTGCCCACACATAACCAGTAAGTGGCAAAGTGCTCACACAGCCCATCCTCTAGGATCGCAAGTCCTATAACTGGAAACAACGGCTCTTCATCATCAACTTCATCTCCTTCTTCACGGCACTGGCTGTCTACTTTCGGCACAACATGTATTGTGAAGCTGGAGGTGAGGCTGGGCTAGGATCCATAGGTGGTCACAGTGGCTATAGGACAGGTGGGATGTTTTCTGGAATGTGCCATATGGTGGTGGCCTGGGGGCTGGCTGCCATCGTGTTCCCTGTGTAGTGATATGGTGGCAGTAACTTATCAAGGCCCCTGAGGGGGTGGCAGAAAGCTCACCCTACTTTGTTGTTTGTGTCCTCCAAACAGTGTACACCATCTTTGCCGTCCTGGAGTACACCGTTGTCCTAACCAACATGGCATTCCACATGACGGCCTGGTGGGACTTCGGGAACAAGGAGCTGCTCATCACCTCCCAGCCTGAGGAAAAGCGATTTTAAATCCTCGCTTATTGGAGAGGAGAGCCACTGCCCAGAAACTAGAAACAAGATAACACTCTGGCCTTCCCTACCCCATGTCCTGTCTGGGCCCTACTGAAGCTGAGGGAGGGGAAAAGTGAGGATAGGCATAGGATGAAGCTTTACCCAGCCCTGCTGGTTTCTCCATTCCCTCAGTCCACTTGAAGACATGGGGGCCTTCAAGCAGCATCACCATTAGTGGAGAGGCCCCAAGAAGCTAAGCCGACAGGAGAGCTCCACCCTCTGGTGCTAAAAAAAGTCCTGAGGTTCATAACCACCATCTGGTCTTGGCCTTTACATTGCCACCTCTCGCTGAGGTCAGACCGCTGAGTGAGCAGTGGCTGCTACCTGAAAACCACAGCCATTTCTCTCTACAGTACGGGGTCATTCACTTGACTAATATGCTTGTGATCTACTTTGCACATCCAGGCCTCTGGCCAAAGATACCTGCTAAGGTTGATAAGGTCTTCTAGTCCTGAATACAATTTTTTGATTTGATCTGACCTTCCCTATCTGAGCCTCAGTGGTCCATGTGATGATGCAGGCTGGGTGGGCTATATAAATTCCAGGGTCTCTGCCAGTCTGATTCTGATGTCACCGTAGGTGTTTGTGCCCAAAGGATGACCTGACCCAGAAGCAGCATGGGCACAGTGTGCATTTCCCTTCCCTTCTGAGCTCTCTGGCTTATACATATACACAAAATGTGGGAAAATGGGGTCAGGGGGCAAAGTGTCTTACTCCTAAATGGGCTCTCTTGTGCCCCCCAATCCTCCCTCAAGCCCCAGGCTCTGAGCTCTTTTGGTTGTACATTTTATTTTACAGGAAAATAAAAATTTTTTCTTGTGCAACAGTCTGGACTAGGCTGGCTTGTCTTGGGGCTTGTCATTTTGTTTAATGGAACTGAGGTGAGGGCAGTCTCCAAGATAGAAGGAGTAAGTTCATGAGAGTACATGATTGCAAATGCTGTCTCCCATGCCCCTTAAGCCTGGAGTCTCCTAAGGCTGGTGTAAGCCCCTGTTTTGGAACCTATTTCTGTAATGTCTCCAGGCCTGGAAGCTGGGATACCTGGGAATCTTGTGTTGAGGCAAAGGTCTGTGGTCTACCTCCAATTCTGTCAGTAAAGATCGGACATGTGCTGAAGGGCACCGCTCATGGCATGACTGAGAGCACCTGCCTGCAGGTTGATGGCTCTCAACCTCTCCCTGTCTGAGTGCCAGATCAGGAAGTCTTTCCTCCTGTTTTATATCCCAGTCTACTACAAATTCTGTAGCTGGCACCCAGAGCAAGATTGGCCCCTCCAAGGGAGCCCAGAGCTTTGTTAGGGAAATTGGGGGGTGGGGGACCACAATGAAGTCTATTGTCTTCTGTCCCCTCTTACATGAAACAAAAGGCTCCCAGTCTCTGGGGAGCCCCAGCCCATGTTTGGTCCCTGCCCAACCCCCAATGTCCAGCACATAGGGAGGAGCCGGGGCCAGTGGAGACAGGAGGTTTTATTGATGCTGATGGGGGTAGGAAAGGCCCCCAGGACTCTGGGGGGTGGGGCTGGGGATGAATCAATCAGCAGATGCATAAGGCCTGGACATGGGGGCAGGTTAGGACACATCCATCTCATAATCCTGTGGCTCATTCTCTGGGGGAGGGAGAGCATCTTGGGATTGGGTAGGGGCAATTCAAAGGGCAGCGAGGGACAGAGGGAGAGGTTAGGGATGGCTGAGAGCTAACCTGACATAAGGTACCACGACAGGCAGCAACATCTGTGCGGAAAGCTCGAGCCAATGGTCAGTAAGGGAAAACAGAGAGGGAGCTCTGGGTTGGCTTCTTGGCTTGATTTCTCAAGAATACCTGGCGTTCCCAAGCAGAGTGCAGCAGGGCCCGAAACCCCTTTTCCTGTGGGCCTCCTTCTAGAGAAAAAGGCTTTTAGGGAGCCCCCTGGCAAGGGGTGCCACGATTAGTCTTTAAGGCACAGCTGGGGGCAGATAAGGCGCCAAGGCACAACTGGTGGGGGGGAGCAGGGGCAGCCTCCAAGCTGAGTGCCAGGGTCACAAGAGGACACAGGACCGCCCACGCTTGATGGGAGTAGGGTTGAGCACCGCCCGGACAGCCTCAGCAAACACTTCCTTGACGCCGTCCTGCTGCAGGGCCGAGCACTCGAGGTAGCGCACAGCATGGATCTGCTTGGCCAGTGCCTGGCCCTGCTGCGGTGTGATGGGTGCCTGGCCCTGCTCCTTGAGACGCCGTAGGGTGTCAGGCTGGGCTCTCAGGTCCTTCTTGGTGCCCACCAGGAGGATGGGCACGTCAGGGCAGTGGTGGCACACCTCTGGATGCCACTTGTGCCGCACATTCTCATATGAGGGTGGACTGGCAATGGAGAAACAGATGACAAAAACGTTGGTCTGAGGGTAGGAGAGTGTGCGGAGACGGTCATACTCCTCCTGGCCCGCTGTGTCCCACAGGTTCAGGTTCACTGTGCGCCCGTCAACTGCACTCTGGGCGCTGTAATTGTCGAACACTGTGGGAATGTATTCCTTGGGGAAGGCATTAGTCGTGTAGCAGATCAGCAGGCATGTTTTGCCCACAGCTCCATCACCCACCACCACACACTTGATGCTCTGCATGGTGGGTACAGCTGCTGCAGTGGAGGCAATGCCTCCTCCCCTTACCGGGCCCCTCTGGATGCAGTGACCTATGGACAGATAACAGGGACACTTTTGGTTAGGGAGCCCTCTAGCCATTGGGAACACAGGATTGGGGCGTACAGAGGAAAACCAGCTTCTGTTCTTTTGACACCATCCTGCAATCGCATCAAGACAAACCTCGCTAAGACAGATACAAAATGAGAGGCCCTGAGACCAAGCAGAGGAAGTGGCACTATAATGTGTAACATAACATGTGAAGCACCAAAGTTCTCGTGCCAGACCAACTAAGGTCATATCCTGGTTCTGCTACTTCCTACCCGGGTGACCTGGACAAATGACTTTATTTCTTCATGCCTCAGTTTTCTTACCTGTAAAATGGGGAGAAAATAATAACTACCTCATTGGGATGTTGTTGAGGATTATAAGCTACTACATGTAAAGCATTTGGAACAGTGCATATGTGTAGGGATCTACCAGATATTGACTCCTTTCATGAGTAGCCTGGAGGGAAGGTTCTTAGCACAGCGCAGCTTTCCCTGAGATTTGGCCATGCGTATAACCTTTTCCAATTCAGGCCCCAGCCTGCTCAGTACACTGCTGTTTAAAGAACAAATCTACATCTTGGCTACTGAGTACAAACCAAAGGGCACAAGGAAACACCTGCTGACCATGGAGCAGGATTGCCTTGACAGACTCCCTGTTCCCGGACAAGGGTGCCCTGGATGGTGGGAGGAGGAAGGGTCTATCCTATCAGTCTCGTAAGAAGGCTACACCCTATTTGACCATACATAGCTGGGGTGCTAACTCAGTGCAGGGGAATGGTGGAGAGTGACCTGGGGTTCCATATGGAACCTCATATGTATGTAATAATGAATGAAGCAGAGCCTGTGCCTCCCTGACACCGGCAGTCTCAAGACCCTCTGTGGGATAAGGCAGAAGATCCTCCAAGTCCAGCCAAGAGGGATGAACAGAGGAGGAAGAAAAAACTTGACTTTGTTTAATCTTCCATTCTTTTTTTTTTTTTTAATAGAGGCATGTTTTATTTATTTATTTGTTTGTTTGTTTTGTTTATACATGCACTGGGTACAGTCAGAAGCGCGGGAGGGTGAGAGAATTCACCAGAGCCAGAGCGGGGAGCAGAGCAGGCAGAAAGACCGAGTACACTGCTGAGGGGAGCAGCGGGCGGCAGGAGAGGTCTGCACGCCATGTGGGACCCTCCTCTGGTGGCCGGGGAGCAGCCGGGGATCGAACCGGCGCCGCAGAGGCCGCGGGCAGCTTCGCAACCCAGCGCTCAACCGCTGCGCCACCAGGGAGGCCCTAATCTTCCATTCTTTTCCTAAGACCATAGCCTGTGCCTCTGAAGAATTTCAGAGCTTCCCGGACTCTTATGTAAAGAACACAACGCTATTAAAGCATTGTCAGGGCCTCCCTGGTGGCTCAGGGGTTAAAGATAGAGCTATCAAGCTACTGCCAGCTACAACAGCAGGAATTGGATCAGGCCGGCCAGGAAGCAACCCACATGGCGCAGCAGACCTGTCTCGCCCGCTGCTCCCATCAGCAGTGTATTTCAGTACATCTGTCTGTTCTGCTTCCCACTCTGTCTCTGGTGAATCCTCTCACCTCCCACACCTCTGGCTTATACCCCAGTTCTTGTATGCATAAATAAATAAATCTTTAAAAAAAAATAAAGCATTATCACTGAGAACACAGATGTTGGAGTCAGAGTGGCTAGGGATTCTTTCTCATCATAGCTCTACCAACTTAAACATACTTAAGTTTCCTGAGCCTCAATTTTCTTGTCCATAAAATGGGAATAATCTTGTCTATTTTTGTTAGAAGTGCAGTGTAATAAATGAGCTAATGTGTACTAAGTCTTTGGCATGAGTCATAGAATGTAGGACGTGTCCAATGAATACTAGTAATTACTGGTGGGGTGAGCTCTGGCCACCACCCTGGTCCCTCTGTAGCACGTAAGGCCCCAGGGTGAAGAACTGCTTTTCGGAGTTCTAGAACAAAACAGAGCTTCCGGAAACCCTGTGATTATTTATACTGCTGTGGCAGGGGTACTCTTCTCATTGGCTACTTCCTCTCAGTCATGGGGACACTGGCTGGACAGTATGTGACTTCCTTTCCCTGACTCTCTCCCACAACTGGGTCCCTGTTCCCTAGGAGACATACCAGATTCTCCAAGGATCGCTTTTTCTGCCCAAGCAACATCACCACTGGCGCATTTTCTACATCTCACTTTACACACTGCAAACCTGCAACCTGGCTTGAGAACATCTTACCCCCATCAGCTGGACTTCTCAATTACTAGGTTCCAAAGGCTCAAAAATCAATTGGGGGATGAGGGGCATGTGTGGGGAAATCCCCCCCATGGGTAAGTAGAAAAGGAACTTGAATGGTATGAAACCTGCAATAGAATGCAGAGCTTGATCCCAGCTCCCTTCCAGGCCCCTGCTCCCCCTGGAACTAGCTGTAAGGGAAATGGTTTGCCCCTGAGGTTGCTTCTCAAATATTTCCATCTCAGTTGCATGAATAAGTGTGTGTGTTCAACCTCAGGAGAGAGTACAGAGAGCCTTGGGGAAGGACAAAAGGGTCCTCTGGGGCAGTGGTGAGAACCTCACCCTGTCAGTCAGGAGATCAAACCTAGTTCTAGCCCCAGTTCTGCTCTGCCGCTGAAATCAAGCATGAGACACTTACCCGCTCTCGATTCAGTTTCTCAGTCCATGAAATGGAAAGGAAAACGCCTGTGACAGGGGTACTAGGTGGATGAAATGAGACATTGAGAGACCTGGGAGCAGGGGATATGATGATGGGGGTGAGAAAACCCATAGGAACAAGAGTTGGGGTGCGGTAGCTGAGTCAGTCAGCAAATGTGTAAGACCTGAGCACATGGAGGCAAGTTAGGGCACATTCTTCTTAGGATTCTGTGGCTCCTTCCTTCCTTAGGAAAAGGACCACTGGGAAAGCGGGGGGGGGGGGGGGGGGAGTGAGTGTGTGTGTGTGTGTGTGTGTGTGTGTGTGTGTGTGTGTGTGTGTGTGTGGTGTGAGGGGTTGTTGATACCATTATTTCTGTTTACCTGATTATCTGGGAGACCCTGGCATTTCAAAAGCAGAATTCCTGGGCCCACACATCTTTAGTGACACTCAGGGCAGGGGATTGTGTGGCAGCAAGATTGGGAATTTTTCCACCAAAGGCCCAGGGCTGGGCTGGCCCAGGCAGGAAGACAAGGAGGAATTCTGGTCTGAAGTCACAAGGCCCAAGAGACTGGAAGCACAGATGGCTCCAGGCAGCTCTCTAGGGAGGGGTTATCAACCAGCAATCAGTAAATCAGCCCTCAAAGGAGCAGGGAGGGAGAGGGTGTCTTCCGGACTGGCAAGGAAACGGGGCTGAAACCGGAAAAGGATCATTCATGAGTGAGGTGGTGTCCAGAAACAAGCAGGGAAGAGACAATGTGGTATGGGGTCAAGGGCAACAGATACCTGAATCAGACCCGCTGTGTTCACCTGCTGACATGCCCTTTGATAAAATGCCCTACCAATGTTTTATAGATCCCATGGTATTGTTATTTGATTTTTAAAAAACTTATCAATACTATTCCTATTCACATATGAGGAAACAAACTGATAACAGCTGAGTAACCTAACATCACCAGCCAGGGAGCATGGCAGCCAGGACACAAACCTGTTCTGTGGTCCAAAGTCCTGTCATCCTCAACGTACAATACAGGCTCCAAGTAACTCCTCACCAGCAAACCGTGTGGCCTTGAACAAGTCACTGCCCTTCCTAGAATCTCAGTTTCTTCATCTGTCCCACAGGAGTTAGAATACTTGCCCTCCCTTTCTCAAAGGATTGTAGGGAGGATCCTGAGCATGGAAACAATGTGCTTTGTGAACTGGGAAGCACTGTGCACACAGGAGGTGAAAAGAGCAAAGCCCCAAGAGGTAGGAAGCATGTGTCAGTCTCTGCACGGTGGCATCAGCCCGATTCTCCCTATTCAGGTCTAGTGCCAACTATTCTCTCTCCCAGAAATACTCCTTTCTTTGAAGCTTTATGGCCTGAACTGGATCCAGTGAGTTCCCACAGCTTATTTGAGGAGAGCACATGCTAAAGGCAGGGTCTGACCTGCACCACACTGGGAGAAGGGATCATCAACATCACAGGAGGCCAAACAAGGAGAGTTGGGTATGACTGTGACTTATTCACTAGGTGACTTGTTTTAAAAAGTTGATTTAGTTAATAAGTTGATGTTTGCAAATCTGTATAGTATTCACCAAATTACGATGATTTGTTCTGCCTTTTTACTCCCAACTTATTTCAGATCATGCCTGGCCCTTCATCCTAGCATTCAGAGTTCTGCATAATCTGGTAGGGGCTGTAGAAGGGTTTAAACCACTGCTACTTGGGGACTCCCTGGTGGCACAAGGGGTCAAGATGCAGCACGATGGAGCTGTCTGCAGCCACTGCAGCCACTACAGCCTGAGTGATTCCCGGGGCAGGCCAGAAAGGTGACCCACATGGCGTAGCAGACCTCTCTTGTCTGCCCACTGTTATTTCAGTGTATTTCAGTACATCTGCCTGTTCTGCTCCCACTCTGTCTCTAGTGAGTCCTCTCACCCCCCCGCATCTCTGGCATGCACTCCAGCTCTTGTATGCATAAATAAATAAATGTTTTAAAGAAAATAAACCACTGCCACTTAAGATTACTAATCTTACAAGGTTGTTATAAGAGTGAGTATGTTAAGGGGCCTCCCTAGTGGTAAAAGGGGTTAAGACGCAACCTATGAAGCTATCTGCAGCTACTGCAGCACGAGTTTGATCCCCAGCCAGGGAGCTACCCACATGGCACAGCAGACCTCTCCTCACTCGCCCATTGCTCCCCTCAGCAGTGTATTTCAGTCAATCTGCTTGTTCTGTTTCCCACTCTGTTTCTGGTGAATCCTCTCACCCCACCCTCCACACCTCTGGCCTGTACCCCAGTTCTTGTATGCATACATAAATAAAATCTTTAAAAAAAAAAAGAATGAGTACATTAATACACAG